AGTTGGTTCATGAAATGTCTGCAGGAAAACCACCCAGCTCAGAGAGCACCAAGAACCCCATAGCTCAACCCTGAGCTGCCAATATTCTCTCCTATTGCTACCCACTCATCTATGCAATCCTGAGCAAATCCTAGCTTCAAAGCAGACCAGATTTGAACATCAGAGTCATGAGTAGCGAACCTACTTTCCCGATGGGGTTACGGTAACAAAACCTTGCAAGTGTGAATGCGTCTCCCAATCCCTGCCTAACATCTTCTTGCTTAGAAGCAGTAATTCTTATTGCAGCTGTAAGGTGAGAACGACCTGTCCTTTGGCAGTTAACATAAAACATGTTATTACAGGAAAAGGTAATACAGCATGTACTATAAATGTAATTTCTTGCAGCAGCCACCATCTGTGTCTCTAATACATTTAAGAGCTTTTAATAAAGGCCATTTTCTCCGAAAAGCACGCCCACAGAATACTGCATATTTGCAACACAGGAAGGGCTGCAAATGACGTTTTTTTTATGGAAAAATGGCATGGGAGGAGCCCAAAATACTGGGAAAGAGTTGGATAAACCCAGCGAGTGACTCATTTCTTTTGACTTACAATGACTCACGAGAGCAATTTCCAATAACTCCTCTTTGCACGCAGGCAGACAAAGGCAAACTAGCTTTTTTTCCCCGATGACTTGAAAGCCACTTCGGGACTTCTTAGGAAATCTGACCTTTTCTCTCTTTTGAGAATTTGCAGGATGTGATTACAGATCGACCTTTGCTTACGACCATTGTTGAGCCCCAAATTTCTGTTGCTAAGCGGGTTTTGCCCCATTTTTTTCCAAACTTTCTTGCTACAAGGGGTTAAGTTAAATCCAGTGGTGGGATTGAAAAATTTGTTACTACCGGTTCTGTGGGCATGGCTAGGTGGGCGTGGCTAGGTAGGCGTGGTCATGCGATTGGGTGGGTGTGATCTTTTTTGCAGCACCACCCCACCCCATTTTTTGGCCCTTCCTGGCCTCAGGGGAGCCTCTTGGGCGAAGCAGTAAGAAGCGAGGGGAATCCCAACAACAGCTGTTTGTAGGAACAGCTGATTGTCGGGAGATTAAAAAAAATAACTTAAGGAGTGACTGGGCAGGCGAGCATTGAGCGGATGCATTGGGTGGGCGGGGCAAGCGAGCGAGTGGCGAATGGGTTGGGGGCGTGGCCAGCCAGAAGACACTACCATTTCAGTGATCCATGCCAAATCCTTGCTACCGGTTCGCCTGAACCGGTGCGAACCAGCTGAATACCACCACGGGTTAAATCCCTGCGGTTGCTAAATTAGCAACACGGTTGTTAAGTAAACTTGGCTTGGCTCTGCTTGTCAGACGGTCGCAAAAGGGGAATCACGTGACACCACCACCCCTTCTGGGATGCTACGACCGTCATAAATATGAACCTGTTGCCAAGCGTCTGAATTTGGATCACCTGGCCATGGGGAGGCTGCAACAGTTCTAAGTGTGAAAAAAGACACTTAAAAGGGACTTTTTTCAGTGCCCTTGTAGCTTTAAATGGTTACAAATTGCCATAAGTCAAGGACTACCTGTACCATGATGTTCAGGCTGGATATATTTGGGGAAATTAAAATAGCAACCCTTTTCCCCACTGCTGTGAATTAACTAAAGAGGTTTGAGAAGCATCCTTCACAAGTGTGCAGTCCATGGGGTGTTTGCAAACAACTCCTCTGCTCGCAATAGAATACCTTATGCCACCCAGGCTTGGAATTTCGGAACTGGACAATCTAGAACTACGCCGCCTACGATCCAACCTAAGCTTAGTGCACAAAATTGTCTGCTACAATGTCCTACCTGTCAATGACTACTTCAGCTTCAACCGCAACAACACACAGGCAAAACAATAGATACAAACTCAAAGTAAACCGCTCCAAACTCGATTGCAGAAAATACGACTTCAGCAAAAGAGTGGTCAATGCCTGGAACTCACTCCCTGACTTTGTTGTTATATCCTCAAACCCAGAGGTGGTATTCAGCCGGTTCTGACCAGTTCTACAGAACTGGTAGCGGAAATTTTGAGTAGTTCGGAATCTCACCTCTGACTGGCCCTGCCAACCCCATCTCTTCTCGGCCTCCCGAGTCCCAGCTGATCGGCTAGGTCTTCTTTTGTTCCCCTGCATAGGAGAATGGAGCTGGAAAGCAGGTTAGAGGGGTGGGGAGGGAATGGAGATTTTACAGTATCCTCCCCCTGCCACACCAAGCCACACCCACCAAGCCACACCCACAGAACCGGTAGGAATTTTTTTTGAATCCCACCACTATTCAACCCCCTAAACACTTTAACCTTAAACTGCCTACTGTGGACCTCACGCCATTCCTAAGAGGTCTGTAAGGGGGCATGCATAAGTCCATCACCGTCCCTGTCCTACTATTCCCATTTATCCATGTATTCATACTCCTTTATTAAGTATATACTTATAGCCGTTTATACTTATATGTTTATATGTTATGTTCATACTTCTACTTGTTTTCTCATACATGCTTGACAAACAAAATAAATAAATACATAAATCAATACATGTACGCGTTTCAAGGCTATCCCTTGTTACACTTTTGCAACGTAGAACAAATATTGGCTTGTTTCTTTAACTCTCAAGTCTTTTCTTAGATGTATGGAGTTATTCTCTTTGGGTTTTCATCTCGGGAGCCTCAGGCAGTTCCTTTTGGGTGTCCCTCTTCTTGAACGACTAAATACCCTTTTTTTCCTACTAATTGCAGGTGTCCACGGCATCCTTGATGAGATAGCTGTGGTTCCGCTTCACGGATACGGAGCTAAAAGGGCAGGGCTTCGCGCAGGAGAACCAAAAAGAATGGGAAGGAAGAGGAGAGGATAGACAAAGGCCACCCCTCATGGCTATTGACCAAGAAGACAGAGGAGGTGGAAGATCAATTCCTTTGTTCAGCTGGTTTGTCTTGGTGAGGTTGACTGACAAGGGGGCTGGGGATTATGGAATGAACGGTTGCAAGGAACTGGGCTCGTCGAAAGAGAGGAATTAGGAGGAGTAACATGATAGCAGTCTTCCAAAATTTGATGGGCTGCCAGAACGGAGAAGGGGGTTAACCTAGCCTCCAAAGCCCAGAAGGGCAGGGCGAGAAGTAACAGCAGAAGATCTTAGGACTCTATGACCATTATTAAGTGTTGTTCCTGATGATTCTTGACTCTTGATGAATGTGTCTTTTATGTACACTGAAAGCATTTGCACCAAGACAAATTCCTTGTGTATCCGATCACACTTGGCCAATAAAGAATTCTATTCTATTCTATTTTCTATTCCCTCTTCTATTCTACATTCTACATTGTATTCTACTCTACTCTACTCTACTTTACTCTACTCTACTCTACTCTACTCTACTCTACTCTACTCTACTCTATTCTATTCTATTCTATTCTATTCTATTCTATTCTATTCTATTCTAAAGATCATCAGAGAGAGCCAACCTAGAATTAAATAGAAATTTCTTCAGAGAGAAAACAATTAATCAATGGAATGGTTTTCTTGAGTGCTCCATCACAGAAGGACGCTGGATACTATCACTGTGGAAGACAAAAGCCCCAAGGGAAAATATGTAGCATTAATTTGACTTTCCATGAATAACATTAAGCAAGGAAGAATTTGGGATGGGGAACAGCATTTGGGTGGGCAGCATCTCCCACGAAAGATCTTTGGGTGAGGAACACCTCCATGAATCAATGTTCTTCATGGAAATTCCTTCATATATTCCTCTCCTGAAGCTTTTCCATGGAGATGCTGCCCACCCAAAGTGCTTCTATGTTCAGTGTTCTTCATGCGTACTTGTTCATGGAGATGTTCCTCACCCAAAGCTCTTGCATGAGAGATGCTGCTCACGAAAATGCTTTTGTGGTCAATATCCTTCATCTCCATGAAGAGCTTTGGCTGAGCATTCCATGAAGAAATTTGGCATGAGGAACATTGACCATAAAAGCATTTTGAGTGGGCACCATCTCCACGGAAGAACCTCAGCTGAGGAACATCTCTATGAATCAATATTATTCATGCAAATTCTTGGTCAATATTCTTCATCTCCATGGAAGAGCTTTGGCTGAGGTCTCCATGAAGGAGTCTGCATGAAGAACTAAGGAAGACTTTTGAATGGGCCCCATCTCCATGGAAGAACTTTGGCTGAGGAACATCTGCCCATGAAAGAGTTTGCACAAAGAACATTGACCATTCAAGCATTTTGAATGGGCACCAATTCCATGGAAGACTTTTGGCTCAGGAACATCTCTCATGAAGGAGTTTGCCTGAAGAACACTGACTAAGGAAGACTTTTGAGTGGGCACCATCTCCATGGAAGAACTTTGGTTGAGGAACATCTACCACAAATGAGTTTGAATGAAGAACATTGACGACTCAAGCATTTTGAATGGGCCCCATCTCCATGGAAGACGTTTGGCTGAGGAACATTTATCAGGAAGGAGTTTGCAGGAAGAACATTGACATAGGAAGCCTTTTGGGTGGGCCTCATCTCCATGGAAGAACTTCAGATGAGGAACATCTCCATGAATGAATATTCTTCATGCAAATTCTTGGTCAATATTCTTCATGTCCCATGGAAGGAAGACCTTTGGCTGAGGAACATCTGCCATGAAGGAGTTTGCATGAAGAACATTGACCATTTAAGCATTTTGAGAGGCCACCATCTCCATGGAAGACCTTTGGGTGCGTTTGTAGGACCTCGACGAGGAGGGGGGGACCCAAGGAGGTCTCCCCACCAGCTGTCCCGATCCTGCAAACCGGGGCGCCCAACAGAGCACAACGCGCACGCGCGACTTAACTCCCGCAGGGAGGGGCGCCTCCGCCCTCCCGCCACGCCCCCTTCCTTCTGGCCGCGCCCCCCTGCGTCCTTCCCTTCCCTCCCTCGGCGGCAGGCGCCTTCGGCGCGTGACGTCACGCGTCCGCCACCGCCGCCGTCCTCCTCCTTCCGCTTTCCGGCGGAAGCCAGGGAGGGACTTCCTTTTCCGGGTACGGGTCCCCAGGCGGAGGGAGAGCGAGGCATCCGGAGCGCTTGAGCCCCCCGGGCGCCAGACGGAGAGGCCGAGTGAGTGGCGGCGGCGGGGGAGGCGGAGGGCGAGGACGGGGCGAGGGCCCCCGCGGGGGCCACGCGGAGACCCGGCCGAAGGGGGCCTCCGAGGGCCGCCGGGGCAGAGCGGGCAGCTGGAGGAGGCCGCAGGCCCGGCCTCGGCTTGACAGGAGGAGGTGGGCCGGGCCGCCCCGCAGGAGGCCGGGGATCGAGGGCGGGGAGGGGCGCCCGAGGCATGCCGGCGAAGGAGAGGGCGCCCCTCCCCGCCTCTTATTGGGGGAGGGGCGCCTCCGCGCTTTGACAGCCCCCCCCCCCCCCCCTTGGCCACCCCGGGAGGGGGGGCGGCTCCCCACGAGACCCTCCTTGGAGCCCCCGTAGCATCGGCCTTTCCTAGGCTTCGCTAGGCCGCTGGAATAGCGGCTGCCAGGTAGGCTGCTCCTGGATGGGGAGGCTCGACTGTCTTGGAAACTGTTAGGTAGTTAAGGCAGCCCCTCTGGTTAGTCCCAAGCGGGGCTGTTCGCTAAGGGGGTCTCTTGCCCCTCTATTGGGGAGGGGGTCTACTTGCTTCAATACCTGCCCAGAAGGACGGGGAGGGCCCCCAAAAGGAGACCCGACCCGGCAGCTCCTGTCCTTGGGCCTGGGGTGGTTTTTTTTTTTGGACTGGGTGATCCAGGAGAGATTCAACCTGGAAATAAGGAGGAATTTCCTGACAGGGAGAGCGATCAACCAAATGGAACAGAAGTTGCCTTCAGAAGTTGTGGGAGCTTCATCCCTGGAAGCTGTCAAGAAGAGACTGGACTGCCATCTGTCAGAAACGGTGTAGGGTCTCCTGCTCAGGCCGGGGGTGGGGTGGGGTTTAGGCTAGATGACCTCCAAGGTCCCTTCCAACTCTGGTATTCTATATTCAGTGGGACAGCTTGGCTTTGGAAGTTGTGGGAGCTCCCTCATCCCTGGAAGCTGTCAAGAAGAGACTGGACTGCCATCTGTCAGAAATGGTGCAGGGTCTCCTGTGTTGGTGGGAGGGTTGGACTAGATGATCTCCAAGGTCCCTTCCGACTCTGTTAATCTGTGTAAAGTCTTGCAATAGGTGCTAGCCAGCCTTGCGTCTTCCGTACCTGGCAACTTCATTCTTATTGATTAAACTTAAATGTAACTATGATTTATGACCTGTGACCTGCTGCTGTCTATATGTAGACTGTGAGTTTCTGCACAGGAGACAAATTCCTTGTGTGTCCAATCACATTTGGCCAAAAAAAAAAAAGAAAAGAAAAGAAAAGAATTTATATTCTATTCTTCTAAAGCCAGCTGTCCTGGATTGACCCATGCAAACAGAGGAGAACTATTTGTAGCTCAGGGTTGAAATGAAGGGTCCTGGGTGCTCTCTGAGCTGGGTGGTTTTCTTGCAGACGTTTCATGACCCAACTAGGTAACGTCATCAGTGCTGGAAGGAAATGGGGTTTCTGGAGTAGGAGGACGACTGTGGGATCCTTCTCTGAATTTGGTGGTTTTCTTGCAGGCGTTTCATGACCCAACTAGGTAACATCGTCAGTGCTAGTGAGTGTGGGGTTTGCTCCCTGTTTATGATACAATAACTCTGAGCTAGAACCTCATCAGTGCTAGAAGAGAGGTGGGTTTGTGGAGGAGCAGGAGGAGGACTGTGGGGTCCTTGGTGCTCTCTGAACTGGGTTGTTTTCTTGCTGACATTTCATGACCCAACTGATCAGTGCTTAGTGAGTGTGGGGTTTCTCCCTGTTTATATACAGTACCTCTTACAGACATTTCATTACCCAGTCAGGTAACATCATCAGTACCAGAAGGGATGCCTTTTAGCATTGATGATATTACCTAGTTTTGGGCAATGAATCATCTGCAAAAAAACAGCACCAAGGAGCCCTCCTCTACAAATGCAGGAAGTCCAATCTCTTCTTGAAAGTTTCAAGTGATGGCGCTACCACAACTTCCGAGGGCAACTTCTGTTCCATGAGTTGATTGTTCTCACTGTCAGCAAGTTTCTCCTTGTTTCCAGGTTGAATTTCTCCTTGCTCAGTTTCCATCCATAATTCCTTGTCTGGCCTTCAGGTGCTTAAGAAAATAGCTTTACCCCCTCCTCCTCTCTGGGGCAGCCCCTCAAGTCCTTGACTTACAACCTTCCATTTAGTGACAGCTCGAAGTTACAGTGGCTCAATACAAATTGCTAAGTGTTCCATTTGGTCTCCTGCATTCTTTAGTTCCATCGTACATTCACTGGGAGTTCTCGAGTTATGACCACAATCGAGCCCAAAATGTATGTCGCTAACCCAGACATTGGTTCAGTGAGTTTTGCCCCGTTTTACGACCTTTCTCACCACCGTTGTTAAGTCAGTAACATGGTTGTTCGGTGAATCCGGCTTCCCCGCGGACTTTGCTTGGCAAAAGGTCGCAAAACACTGCGACTGTCATAACTGTGAGTCAGTTGTCAAGCATCCAAATGTAAATCACGTGACTATGGGGATGCTTGCAACGTCGTAAGTCTGAAAAATGGTCCCTTTTTTCAGTGCCATTGTTAGGGGGTCATTTGGCAACCTTCTGACAAGCAATAAGTCATCAGGGAAGCCCGATTCACATAACAACTGTGTGACTAAGTTAACAACTGCAGGCATTCACTTAATGAATGTGGCGAGAAATATGGCAAAACTCAGCAACATAAATCCTGGGCGCAATTGTGGTCACAAGTCAAGGACTAACTGTATTTCAAACTAACGGTACCGAACAGTTTTTATCCTTTTGTGAAACTTAGCATCTCTCTAGGGAGCTGTTGAAAACAGGTATAACGTGGATGTGTGTGAACATCACAACACACATCATGCTAGACACCCTTCATCCATTGTTATTGTGTGATTTTTTTCCCCCCCACAAGCACATTAAGGATCAGTTGGTCTCCCTTTCTCTTGTGCATTACCTATTTAATAGCCTCACTTTATCACTACTCTGTGTTTTCCTTCAAGGCTGAACCCAAACATCTTTGTGTGGTGGCTTTCTTAGCCCCTGTGACGTTGTCTTATGCTATGGGACCCCGCTGTTGTGTAGCCCACTTACTCTTAACAAGACAGTTAGTGAACTGGAGAGTCAGTTTGGTGTAATGGTTCAGGGGCTGGCCTAGAACCAAGAGACGGTGAGTTCTAGTTCCACTTTAGGCATGAAAGCTAGCTGGGTGACTTTGGGCCAATCACTAGGAGATAGTGAGTTCTAGTCCTGCATTAGATATGAAAGGTAACTCTGGGCCAAGGAGACAGTGAATTCTAATTCTTCCTTAGTCACGAAAGCCTAAGAGCATGTTGTAACTTCGAATAATCACAAAATGAACTGTTGTAAGTAGAGAATTATGCTTCTGCAATACTTCTGCCATTTATCTTTTTCTTCGGGATCCGACAATGCTGGCTGTTCGAACCAACCGTGTGCGTCTTGAATCCTGCCAAGTGTTGCCGTTGCATAGACAATTCTGTCTCTTGAGTTGTTTAGCATACTGTCCAGACCAGGGATTGCCTGGTTAGGCCAACATGCTAAGTAACCATGGTAAGAGCGGCACAGGGTTTATTCGTCAAAAAAAAGAGATTACATAACTGAGCAGCCTGTGTAATGATTTTGTTGGTAAGGCAGAATTTAATTGACCGCTTCATCCCAGCGCATTCATTGTTACCCAGTCTGCATTCAACTTCAGGAGCTTTTCTTGCTATGCAATTCTGGGCAGATAATTTTATGCAACATGCCCCTTCGATGGCATGCACAATTATGCTGTGTAATCTCTTTTCCTGACTCTTTCAGGCCTATAGATCTCATTTTTCTCCTCTCCCTTTTCCTCCAGAATGTAACTTGATGTTTATTCATTTCCTATTTATTTATTAAACTTACACGCTGCTCATCCAACCCAGAGGCGACTGGGAGGTTTACGATAAAAAAAAAAAAGCAACAAGTTCAAACATTAAAACAATAAATATTAACACTAAAACAATAAATATATATTTAATGTTATGGAAAATGTCCCTGAAGGATAATGTTTGGTCTACAAAAGATTGTAGGAAGATACTTGCTGCTTATACATAGTATAAACAAGTAGATTCTTTTGTATGTGTAAGTTGTAAGCGTGAAAAATGCTCATAAGTCACTTTTCAAGTGTCGTCGTAACTTTGTATAGTCACTAAACGAATGGCTGTAAGCCGACAACCACCTGTGGTGTATTACCCCAAAAGCTAGATAAGATTTTTTACCTCCTTAAACCACAAACCCAAGGCTTTGCAAGAAAACAGGTTTAGAGAGCGTTTTTGTGGTGTAAAATTGGTGAAGGACAGACAACAGCGATATGTTTTTATTCACCCATCTGGATATAAGGCCCTGAGTTAAGGAACCAAAGCTGCCAGTTGGATAAGTGAATGCTTGTGTCTCATTCCCACATTTGTATTGTGGTCATAATTCAAGGACTACCTACTGTATTCAAACCACCTAACTTCAATTTTCCCCTTACTTAGGGGCTGGAAATGAAAAAACATTCAAAAAATTGTTTGTATCATTCCCACTAAGTCTAGCTGTGGCATTCACACCCTTTCAGCTACTCTTTCGAGCCATAATTTGTTGAGAAACTGCCACATCATCAATGTCAGATTTTGACTTGACCTGGCCGGGAGTGGGCTGTAAGCCAACCTTTGTTCAAATAACTAAAAAAAAAAAAAAAGGGATTCAATGTGACTTCAAGTCAAACAGAAAGCTCCCAAATTAAACCGAGACCTTTCATTTATACTCTCGTACTCGCCGTGAATAACTGACCTGCTAGCAAATACACTTAGTTGTGTTTATTCTTATTGCACTGTGGGGGTTTGTTTGTTTTTAAAGCACATAGAATCCTAGGGCTGGAAAGGGACTTTGAGGTCATGTAGTCCAACCTGCTTGCCCAAGCCAGAGAACCTATATCTTTTCAGATACAATTGCTGTCCGATCCCTTCTTGAAAACTCTAGCGACAAAGCGCCCTTAACTTCTGGAGTCAAGCCTGGTTGTTTCCAATGCCATGTGAATTCCTCCTTAATTCTTCTCTCCTTGGTTGGGCAGGACTGGAACTCATGGTCTCCCGCTTCCTAGCCTGGCGCCTTAACCACTAGCCCAAACTGACCCTTTTGTCTCTCTATCCTTGCCCCTTTTTTCGCAACAGAGCGGGCACCACCAAAGTTGTAACACAGGGCCGCCTTCTCTCTCTTTCAATGCTTCCTTAAGGAACGTCCTTTAATGGGGGCTGTTGGGAGGATTGTTTTGGAGGTGCCAGTTTTGAGTCCTCCACTTAACGGTCACAATGGAGCCTGAAATTTCTGTTGCTAAGCGGGAGAACGCTGGTTCAGGAAGCTTCGCACCCCCTCCCCCATATTACGACCCATTTTTTTCTGGCCACGGTCGTTCAGTTGAATAGTTGCACGGGTTAAACTAGTAACGACGGCCGTTAAGCGAATCTGGATTTCTACTACAGACTTTGCTTGTCAGAAGGTGGCACGAGAGGGGTGGGTGGGACACGTGACCTCAGGATGCTGCAACCCGTCGTAAATGTGAACCAGGTTGCGAAGCCTCTGAATTTTGATCACATGACACACACACACACACCCCCGGGATGCTGTAAGGGCTGTGAAAAGCGGTCCTGAGTCACTAAACGAATGGTTGTAAGTCAAGGACCACCTGTATGTAGACTGAGACACAATAACACCGCCATTTTTGTTGTTCTTCTGTTGACTGATTGATCAAGTCATTGCTGACTAGTGATCAAATTGTTTAGAATTGAATTGAATTGAATTGAATTCTTTGTTGGCCAAATGTGGTTGGACACACAAGGAATTTGTCTTGGTATCTCCTGCTCAAGCAGAGGGCTGGACTAGAAGACCTCCAAAGTCCCCTTTAGCTCTGTCTCTAACCTGGTTTTTAAGGTCTTCCTTCATTGTTGCTGCCATCCTTGTCTCCCCATCCGCCTTGCCACTGCCTGCCCTGCACTCTTTCCTTGCACTTTTCCCAGGGTTACGGACGTACCTGGGGATTGTATGGCTTACCTGCAGTGATATTGATGGGCTAGCCAACCTAGCTAATGCCTTCTTCTTCTTTTTGTTTTTAATTTCTCTTCCCACAGCAAATGGCTGCTAAACTTGGAGAAATTTCTCACGTGAATAATTCTGCTCCCCTCGTGGACCCCTCGGTGTACGGTTACGGAGTAAAGCGGGCTTTGGAAGACGGGAGTAAGTATTTTTTTTCCAAATTTTTGAAATCCCTTTTACTTTAAAGGAAAGAAGGTTTAGCAATGGCTGGCATGAGGAGGAATGTCTGTCTGTCTGTCTGTCACTATCTTCGACCTTTCTATAATCTCTCCATATGTCTTATCTTCTGTATAATCTATAGTCAGTCTGTGTCTGTCTGTCTATCATCTATTTTCTACCTTTCTATTATCATCTCTATAGTTTGTCTATATCTCTCTCTATCATATATTTTCTACCTTTCTATCACCTCTATAGTCTCCCTCTCTCTCTCTCTCTCTCTCTCTCTCTCTCTCTCTCTCTCTCTCTCTCTCTCTCTCATCTATTTCTACCTTTCTTGCTATAATCTCTCTCTAGTCTGTCTGTCTGTCTATCAAATGTATTGGCTGCCCATCTTACCATAGGGTAACTCCAAGCAGCTTACAGTTCTGTCTAAGTTAAAATGTAAAAAGTTAAAATCAAACATTTAAAATCTTAAGAAAACACACGGGGAGGGCCGGGGCAGAGTGGGAGGGGAGGCGGGGTCTGTTATTACTCTTATCAACCCCCTCCATTGCACTCTTTTCCCCCACTGGCGGTCCCAAGCCGACTGGCACAGCCAGGTCTGTTAGGCCCTTACGAAAGGATAGGAAGGCTGGGGCCAACCTCACATCGGTGTGTGTGTGTGTGTGTGTGTGTGTGTGTGTGTGCCACAGCACATGAAGGCCCTCTCCCCTGGACCCCACCAGCTGGAGTAATCGGCCCGACGGGACCCTTCAACCCCATGGCTCCTCTGCCGGCCCGAGTGGGCAGGGCCAATCCCAGTGGGATGAGACAGCCTCTCAGCCATGAATTGGGGTTTGTCCTCAATCAGCGACCAGCAGGCAAGAACAGAATAACGCAAAGCTGTTGGGCGTGGTTAGAAGATTAATTTTATCAGCAGTAATAATGCTTCAGCGGGTTGCTCAGTCTTTCCCTTGATAAGACCGGGGCATAAGTTCCAAGGAAGGTTGATTTCCACCCCCCTCCTCTCTTTGCAAGGGCGGGGGGGGGGGGGGGGGGGAAACCCCCCAATTTATAACCATTTCCTTAGTGACTGTTCATAGTGCAAAGTGACCGAGGAGGAGGGTTTTTCACAGTTATGACCATCCCTGGGTCAAATGGTTTGCTCTTTGCGACCTTCAAAGGGAACAGGATTCGCTGAACGGCCATGCAGGTTTTAACCACCACCTTGCTTGGCAGTGTGAATTCTGCCCCCGCCCCCCACCCCACTTTCGGTCGTAAGTCGAGGACTCGCCTACAGAGCCGAGCCCTGCTTCGTTGTTGGTCTCCGCCAAATTTGCCCCATCTCTCCAGTGCAAGGAAGTTGTGTTGCCTGTTGCTGTGCCCACAGAGCGTGTGCTTTTGGTGCCGCGTGGTGCGTTAATTTCACTCGGATTCCGAGCATCTTTGGATTGCAGGTGGTCCCCGACTTACGACCGCAACTCAGCCCCCAAATTTCCGTGGTGGAGTGAACCATTCGTTAAGGGACCCATTTGCCTCGTTTACACCACCTTTCTTGCCCCAGCTATTGAGGCGAATCATTTCAGTCGTTAAAGTGAGCCACGCGGTTGTGAAGCAAACCCCGTTGGCTTTGCTTGTCAGGAGGTCGCACAAACGTGACCTCGGGACGCTACGACCGTCGTAACTTTGAACCAGTTGCCGATTGCCTGGATTTTGATCACGCGGCCATGAGAATGCTGCAGTGGTCATAAGTGTGAAAAACGGTCATTGTGTGTCATTTCCAGCAAGAAGTCTAAAATATCCTAGCAACTATTACCCTATATAGAGCTGACTTCATATATTTTGATATCAAGCTTGATAATGCTTAATAGAAAAAACAGCTGGGGAGAAATCTGATTTTCAGACCTTTGTTTCAATCTATAAGGAATCATCTTCCAGAGTTGTTGAGCTTTAATGCATTAAATCAAAACTAATTAATTAATGCATTAAAGCTGAACAACTCTTGACATACAACTGCGATTTTAAAAAATGGCCGTAAAACGGAGCCTGTAAAAATGCCTTGGCCAATTTGGAGCTGATGGAGAGAGATTTGATAAGGATTTAAGGGAATGTGGGAAATGCAGAATAATATTTTAACGTGGCGTCCTTTTCATCGTTTTAACTTTCTTTATTTTCACTTGTTTTATTACCTGTAAACCTCCCAGAGTTACCTTATAGGAGAGATGGGTGGCACAAAAAAAGAGAGAGGGGGGGAGGGAGAGAAGGGAAAGGGAGGAAGGAAACAGGGAGGAAGGAAAGAAAGAGGGAAGGAAGGAAAGAGAGGATAGGAAGGAAGGAAGGAAAGAGGAAGGAAGGAAAGAAAAAAGGAAAGGAAGGAAGGAAGGAAAGAGAGAAGTTAGGAAGGAAGGAAAATTTGTCTCGAGTTGTCTAAAAAGCTTTCCTTTCCTGCTTCTGCTCATTTCACTCTCTCTAACCCTCGTGCATTCTCTACATTTTACTTTTCCAACAGGCAAGACATAACCTCAGCAGCGAGAAAGGCCTGTGAGAGTTGTACCTATCCCATTTCAGAAAAAATAAGACAACGGATTGATAAGAGCATTATGAAATAGAGGTGTCCTGGCAGGGCATTGATTGTCACAAGTTCCCTGCACTTTTCTAAAGGAGTGTGTGTGTGTTTGTGTGTGGAGGGGGTTGGATGTCATTCCTAAGAAGCTGCCCGATATCTCTTGGCTTAAAATAGACTTAATCTCTGCCTCTCGCCGCTGAAAATGACTGAGCTGACCTGGGAAATGGGCATGAAATGGAGCTTGAAATGCAGAATTCATTCTCCACGCTCCCTTTTCAAATTATTTCCTGCAAAGGGTGCTCTACTTTCTTAAAACAAGCAGTTGAAAACCCAGAGTAATTGGGTTGCTCGGTGCAAAGAAGAAGCGGGCTGTGATTTCCTTTAAGCGCTTTCCATCAGCCAAGCAAATTCCCTTCAACTCAAGCGTTTTAAGACAGCAAGTTGTCACTTTTTTTAAAGAAGAGTCGATTAAATACGGTTCCGTCCCTTCGTTCCAGCAAAATGACTGAGAATAATTCCCAACAAAAACCTTTTCCGATCAATCCACTTAGCTGAAAGAAGGAAGCGTTTGAAAGCATCTAGGTTTCTCCCTTGTAAATCCAAGGCTGGTTATGGTTGACTTCTGGTACCCTAATCTATGTTTTGGCACCAGAGAATGATGTCCTTGGAGCAGTTGCTTTCAACAAGTTGTAGAGGTGGCTTTCTCGCAAGAGGAGTGCCGTTTCGTTTCTAACTAAGCTGATAAAAGATGCAGTAGAAATCTCCAGTGCAGGTAGTCCTTGACTTAACTACCACCAGATTTCTGTTCCAAAGCGAGACCTTTGCTTTGCCCCATTTTTGCCAGCTTTCTTGCCGCAGTTGTTAAGTTACTAACTCCATCACTTTCCCCTTCGCTCGTCAGAAGGTCGCAAAAGGGGATCGCGAAACCCCCTGGGACACTGCAACCGTCATAGATATGAGTCAGTTGCCAGTCTCGTCCTCACTTTGATCGCGTGACCATGGAGATGCTGCCATCATAAGGGTGGGGAAAACGGTCATAAGTCACTTTTTTCTCGGTGCCGTTGTAACTTTGAACGGTTGCTAAATGAACCGTTGTAAGTCGAGGACTACCTGTAGAAGCTTCCAGGCAAGCTGAGGACAGGTCAGATGGACTACCTTGAGTAGAAACCGGACAATAACTTCAATGGGATGACGGGAAGTTCTTTGACCGCAAGCTTCAGTAGAAGCTTCCAGGCCATCTTAGGTGGACATCTTGAGC